TCTAAGCATCTTTATCTTCTTGCCCAATTGATTCTCCACCTCTTGCTTGAACTCTTTGAACTTTTCAAAGGTTTCTGACTTGTGATTGATTAAATATTTTATTATAATATAACATACCTATTTTTTAAACGCAAGTTGTAGTGCACAAATACAAGATCATTTTGTTTTTGATGTTCCAGTCTATTCCTCTTTTTTTTGTATGAATCCTTTCAAAGATACTCCAATTACATTCACAACTGGAAGAAAATGTGGTTTTCCATAGTACTCTAATAGCAAACTTTTGTAATATTCGAGTATCTTCATCAAATAACTTCCACCACTCATCTACAAATAAAATGGTAACAAAAACAATATATTTCACAATAATATAATTAATAATAGTATACAAAAGTTAAATGTTACATGTACAGGTACTAGTACGAGAAGCATTGACACTATATCTACCAAAAGTTGATTCACTTTCACGAAACTTGCCTAGAGATAGTGTAAGATCTAAAATGCTTGTACCGGAAAAATTCTTCTGAGCCATGTCGAGAACACCTTGAAACACCTCTCTCTTAGAACAAACTTTCTCATGATTATACTGAAAAACTAGATTTAACCAATACGCTGCACAATGAATACTTTTTCTTAGCATTCTATCCTCATGACGATCAACTATGTCAGTATAAGGCTTGTATAATTCTTTCTTCTTCTTAAATAATTCCTTTAACCCTCTTCTTGCTCGATACATTCCCTCATAAACATAACCCATTGTAGGTTTTTCATCTGAATCACATAACCACAAAAGCCTTCACAAAGGAGTCATCACTTTTACCGTAGTCAAACAATTTTTCCAAAAATTTTCATTCAAGACAATATATTTACATTCAACCGCATTTTTCACTTTCAACATCTTCTTAAATTCGTTATATATGACCATTGCTTGTAAATTGGCTTTATGGTCATACAAACTGTTCAATACAATAAACATAGTACCAAAACAGGTAGCACCTAGATGGATGATTTCTATCCAACCATCTCTTTTTCTTAACCAATTCTAGGGCCACTTATGATTGTAAATAAAAACAGCAACCATCGCTTTTTCTTAACCAATAGAAGGATTTCTTTCATAAAGATTATTACCCGTAAGTTTGTAATTGGCAGCATTATCAGTAACAATTTGAACCACATTCTTGTGTCCTACCATTTCAACAATCTCAGCAAGTAAATTACACAAATTTGAAGCATTACTCTCTATATTAGATGCATCAGCAAATTTAAGAAATGATATTCCTTTTGGACAATAAACCAAAAAATTAATTAAATGGCTTTGCAAAGTATCCCTCCACCCATCACTCATAACTGAGCAACCACTTTCAATCCATTGACTTCTATATGAATCAATTCAAATGAAACAAACTTCTTAGCATCTGACAATAAATTGACCTTCAAATCATGATAATTGGGTGCTTTTTACCCATGTCCAATACCCACTATTTTATCTACCATATGTTGAAAATAAGGAGAGTTACAAGCATTCATAGGTACACATGCATCATAGAACCACATCACAATTGCTAAATCGACATCATGTATTTTTTTTTTTTGCATTGTTTGAATGGCAGATTTAATAGTGGGTTGAGAATGATCATTTATACCTTTTTTGAAGAAAGGATGTAAACTTGATGTACCTTTCCGTTTTCCTTCTTTAGTAGGTCGTGCTTTGACATTTCGATTTGTGTTTTTTCCATCTCTTCACCATCATCCGAGATAGTAACACTGTTTATTCCATCACCACTAGCTTTACGCTTTTCCTTTGTGTCATTTCTTTCAAAAGACCTTGCATTTAGAAACGGAATTTTGGAGGTACTTTAGTACAAGCTGATATGTCACTAATAACACCGGCAAGATGTTTCTTAGCTCTGCTTATGCCACCACCACGCCAAATTTTTTTGACAAAAATTACATATGTAGCTCTTGTTTCCTTTATCATTTTTAGCAAGAGTTATATGTTCCCATGCTTTATCCATCCTCGTTCTTACATTTGATTGAACGAAAGGTTGTGATTAAGATTGTGTTTCCATTAGTTGTTTTTCTCTAGTATCCATGCTGAACTATATTATAAAACCATAGAACAATTTCAAAATCAAAATAAAAAATATAAATAAACTAAAACTAACAAAATTTGACAAACAAAAATTGACTAACCAAACAATTTTTGAAGTTCCATATATGTATATATATATATATATATATATATATATATATATATATATATATATATATATATATATATATATATATATATATAGGAGTAAGATCAAATGAGAACACCTAAAAGGTTGAGAACGCGATAACACATCTGAACCATTTAAAAAACTAAATCTAAGGCGATTATCGAATGGGCCATTTATGTAAATTATTAAAATTAGAGGAATTAAAGTGTAACTTTAAAACTGTCATAAGGGTAAAATGGAAATTGATTGTTTACCTATGTTTAGCAATTCCTACAATCTCTCTCTCTCTCTCTCTCACTCTCTCTCTCGTATCTCTCCCTATATATCCCTGCTTCTGCATTTTTCACAACCCTAGGGCCTCCTCTTATTCCAGCCGCCGTTGGCGTGAAGAAGTAGCGAAGTTTTGCTCATCTCTTCCGACTGTGAGGTGTGAGTCGTCGGTCTTGGTGGGTGCTTTGCTCCAGTCGATAGAAGATGAGCGGATAGGTCTTCGGTTTCTTGCCTGATCGAAGGGACGAAGTTAAACGGAAGCATCCGGCTAACAGGTAACCTTCTTGTTTCATTTTTTTTGTTTGTGTCGACTTGTATCGATAATGAACTGGGATGTTTTCTTTTGATTGAAAATTGATGAATGTTTGGGTTGAGGTTGATTTGTTTAAATGGTCCAAACAAGTGGTTGGATCCGATTCTTGGTTGATTAATGGGTGGAAAGAAGCACCATTTGTGCTCTTCGTGTAGAGGGAGAAAAAAGAGGAAGGCAACTGGGTTGCGGACTACTGTTACAACATTCAATGGGGTGTTTGGTTGATTTGTTTGGACAAGGAAGGAAGAAGCCAAGGGAAGACTTAAACGAATTCAGTTTATATTTCGATGTACTTTTATTTTTTCTTGAAGATCAAAGAAAATCTAGCCATATCAATTTTTAGATGTGAAGGACGTGATTTTGATTGTACCAAATTAATTGTGAATTGAAATGGTGCTTGTGTGTAAAATTGGGTGAAGAAATAGTCCAAGCATAAGAAAGAGTGCAAGGTTGTGTTAGCCAATTGGTGTGTATATTTAGTGATTTGGTTTACTGGATGATATATAATTGGATTTCTTTGTATTAATCTTTGCTTGAGTGTTCAGGAGGTAGAATGGTTGCAATGGGAGGACCAACTGGAAAAATTTCTAAAGAACAGAGGCAAAAAAAAGAAAAAAAAAATCCTAATTTTCGAATTTTTTGGTAATAATTTCTTGAAGGGGTGCGTGAATGGTTGTATTTATTTATGAATAGCACGTGTATTCATTTATGAATAACATTGTAGTTATGTGTGAATGGTTGTATTTATTTATGAATAGCACGTGTATTCATTTATGATAGAATGTATATTAATTTATAAATCACAGTGTATTCATTTGTAAATTGCAATGTATTCTTGTATGAATGATTGTATTTATTTATCAATAGTAGTGTATTCATGCGAATGAGTGAATTTATTTATGATTAAAGGTATTCATTTTATGAAAAAATGATAATTTTTACACTAGTTTTTTATTTTAAATTTATGAAAAATGCATTGAGTTATTTGTAACTTGATGTGTTTTCATTTTTTATTGGAAATGTATTGATTTGAGGTTGGATTTTTTTTTTTTTTTTTTTTTTTGAAAAACAAAAACGTGAAATAGTAGAAAGTAATATTTTTTTAAGATTTTCTTTTCAGATTTAAAATAAACGGAAATATTAATTTTTTTAGGTAATTGTTTTGAAACGGTCATAAATATTTTTTGGAAAAAATCATAAAAAAAACATTTATATATATATATATATATATATATATATATATATATATATATATATATATATATATATATATATATATATATATATATTTCATCAACTAAAAGGAAATATTAATTTTGTTAGGTAATTAAAATCATTATCCCTAGATCTTAGGAAATCATTAATTAATATTTATATAAAGTTATTAATATACCCTTATAAAATGATTGGTCCGGAACTGTTCTTGCGTTCGCGTTCTCAACCTTTTAGGTGTTCTCATTTGATCTTTTATATATATATATATATATATATATATATATATATATATATATATATATATATATATATATATATATATATATATATATATATATATATATATATATAGGCAAGGTTTCATTCATAACCAAGATTAATTAAAATAATGTATGGTAAAAGTAAACAAGATAGGACTTACCGACTTATGTTTTGATTTTTTCAATTGACTTAGTTAAAGTCATGTAGGGACCATATGTTTTTATTAATTAAATTTGAACTACAAAACACATTTGCTCAATTCTTACCTTAGTAGGTTGCTACTTTTGAAGATGAAGGTTGTATTAAAAAAGAGAAACTGTAATTATGGAAGATTATGTATTGATTACGATTTACGACCATGGAGATAACAAGATATAAGAACTTGACCTATTGTGCATAACATTTAATCTAAATTGTAACAGGCTATATTTGTTGCAACTTGTGAAGCCCACACTCCATATTTTAGCCCAAAAATTTTTAGTCACCGGTTTAAAACGGTATTTATCCGGTTCATATCAACTGGTTCAACTTGAAAATAACAATAACTAGTCGGTTCACACTGACATAAAATCTAACATAAAACCGGTCCTAATTAAACTGGTCACTACACCGATTCCTAGTTCGACCGGTTCAATTGGCCGGTTCAAACCGGTTTTTAAAACCTTGGGTTGAACTTAAATCGGAGATGGCCAAGGAGGTTGAGAAGATTGAGAAAAGTTAATATGTTCTACATAGAAAAAGTTGATGTTGTTGCTGATGCTATTGCAAAGCTGGTTGAATACAATACCTCATATTCGACAAAGCGTGATGCGAAGACGGAACTGGGTTCCCAAGTATTTGCAAAGCTGGAGGAGTTCTTAAGTAGTATCAAGGAATCAATTTCCAAGGCTGATCTTTTGAATCGATCTTCTATTTCCCAAGAATCAATTTCTAAGTTGATTTCGTCTATCGAAGCTAATCTCAAAGCGGAACTTGCTCCCATCCTTGAGTTGGTTCTTCTTTTACTAACTAATGCTCCACCCGCAAAGCAAGTGTCACAAAGGGAGGAGAAATGATGTAGAGGCATTGGATCTTCGAAAGATATAGATAAAGTAACTATTGTTGGGAAGGTTATGTCCACTCAAATACCTACTTCACTTCCAATTTCAGTAACAACAACTTCGACAACTACCACAACAAGACCTATTACGAAATGGATTGTTATAAGCGAAAATCTTGGAGGTTCTAGTTCAAGCTCTGTGCCACCTCCTTTGAAAGACAGTCAGGGAGACAAAGGAAAAGGTGTTTTGGTAACTTCGTCAGAAGAGGAAATTAAGAAACAAGCCTTGAAATCGAAAGGTAGAGGCAAGTAAATAGCATATTGAGGAGAAGGCAAAATGATCCCCCAAGCTTAAACAAGGGAGATCCATGCAAGCATTGGTGTTACGAAACGATTGAGGAAATTGTCTCAATTAGGAATCCTGAGTATTTTCGCAAAGTTCCAAAGAAGAGTTATGAGGTTGAGAACTCTGATTTTAACCAACTTGATTTCCCGATAAATCATATGATGTACATATCTTCTCAGTACAAGTTGGTTAATAAATTCAATGACAAAGAAGAAAGCAAAAGACTAAAGATGAGATTTCATGCATTATTGGGGAAAAACTGAAGAGGATGTATGGTCATCTATGAAGATCATAAAAGTGATGTTGATTTCACAAGAAAACTTGTTTGAAGGGATATTACAAAATTTTCACTATGTTGTTGTTAGAGAGAATAATGTGGTCTGTGATTTTTCGATTGTTGATTTCCTATTGATGAACTTAAATGATTTGGTCACTGTGGCAAAGATTTTAAGCAATGTGGTTGTTACAAAGATGACAGAGAACAAGAAGGATGATTTTCTCATTGGCTTTGCTAATATCAAGGTATTCATTGATAACTATTATGATTGCCTCGCGATCACTGATATTGAGTTGGCTATGGCTATCAACAAGAGTTCGAAAGTTCCCCGGTCCTTGTTGAAGGGGAAGATTAGCATAGATGAGTATGAAGATGGGGAAATCATTCATCAGCCCTTGGGTGTGGTGTTTCGTAGCAAAAACAAGAATGTGAAGATGACAAAGTTTTTGTTTCAAGTTGCCGATGCAAAGAGGTACACAAATTCCCAATATACAAGCCTTCTTGTTCAAATCAATAATTGCAAAAGGAATGAAGCAATTGATAAGGCTGAAATTCGAAAGACAATACTTTGGTATATGGAGATTCGCAGAGTACTTCTTCAAACTATGAATCTAATGACATGATTTCGTCTTTCTCACTAAGGGGGGGGGGGGGGGGGGGATTTTAGGGTGCGAATTATATAGTGAGAAGTCGAAACTAGTTTTAGTCTATTTAGATGCGAAGTCATGTACTTCGAAGTGTATGTACTTTGCAAGACACTTGTTGATGTCGAAGTCCAATGTATACTCCCTGCATATTTTTTTTTCGTTTGTATCACTCTATAAATAGAGTAAGTATAGAGGTGGAGAGAAGTTTGTACGTTTCGTTTTTGTATTCTCTCTCTAGAACTCTTGTACTCTTACATACAATTAATGAGTCAATCAAATATTATTTACATATTTCGTATTCTAAACTTGATTTAAACACACTTTAGAAATGGTAAAGGATATGAAGACAACATACGATAAGTATTGTGGTGCCTACAACAAGATAAATGATTTTATGTACTTTGCATTTTACAATCTTTGTTCTATTTTGATATAGTTATTACTTATTATTAAATATTAATAACATTATCGCTTTGTATTTATGTAGAGATTGCATAAGCTTTAAAAATTTTAGATTTAGATGACAATGATACGAGAAAAAAGCCAATTGAAGATTAGATTATGACATTTTTTAGTTGAATTGATTTTAAAGTTTAAACTATGATTTTTGGTATGATGGTCATAACTTTTGTATGTTTATGTTAAGATTGTTAACTTTTGTTGATGAACTGGATTTATATGTTAGGTGTTTTTTATCTGGAAAATTAATTTTACAAGTTATAGTATTATAGATAATGTTATTAAAACAAATGGTATAATTAATCAATTTTTTTTTTTTATCTAAAACGAACAATAAAAAAAAATAATTATATTTATATCGAGTTGTACCATATGAAACCTAAAAAGGTATTCATTGTAACGAATTGTATCGTATGCAACTAAAGTTATATTGGCTCAACGGGTACAAGAACCGGAAGAACCGGATCTGGACCGGGACCCGGTAAGCGTCAAACCGGTCCGAAATTCTCATCCTTAGGTCTTCATATCATACAAATTGAAGCGAGTCAAACAGTTTGGATTATGTTAAACAATGTTGACGACATCACCATTTGTGTAATCGTTTGATTTAGCGTTGACAGAAGCTTGTGAGTTGCTCAGTGGAAATTGGCGAAATAAATAAATTGTGAATACAATATTTTGTAAATAGTCGCTATTATGTGATTGGAGAGTGCTTTTTGCGATGTGGTAGCAATCAATATCCATCTAGAAAAAAGCTAGAGGAATAAATTTGGTATTTTGGAGTTTCTGGCGGCTATATAGCGTTTGTGCACCTATATTCATTCCTTGATTTATCTTTAATGTTTTGAATTTTCAATGGTTTATTCGAAAAATCATATAAAATCCTTGTTCAAAAAAAATAAGCAAAGTCTTGTTTTCTGTTTTTTTGTGTGATCCGAATCCAATCCATCGGATCAAATATATCCGGTCTAGATTTCTTCAATATGGTTTCCTCTAAACTGGTTCCAGATAAGATACAGTATTTAAAAAATGTGGTTATTTTGTGCTTCTATATAATATATTATATAGGGGTGAGTAAAAACCGCACTGCAACTAAAATTAACCGCAAAAATCACATAAACCGCAACCACAATAAAAACCGATAGTGGAGTTTTTTGTTTTTCAAAAACCGCAAATTTGCGGTGGGGTGTGGTTATTAGTTTTAAAAAACCGTAAAAAAACCGCACCGCACCGCATATATTATATTTATATTTTTCATTAATTATTAATATATTAAATATTAAAAATAAGATAAGTTTAATAAATGAAAGTTAAATAAAATACTAGAAGATAAAAATGTTGGTTTTTGTTATGTTTAACTTTGAACAATGGTGAAATTAGATAATTTTAAAAAATTTATTGTTAATTCCTATTGATTTAACGTTTTAAGATATTAATTGTTTGTGATTTAAGTTAATTGTCATATACATTATGTCATTATGGTTTTTTTTTTTTTTTTATTACAAGTAATATGTTTGAATTCTTAAAACTGTTTGAGTTCTAAATTGTGATTAAAAACCACACAAAATAACCGCACCAAATCCATGCGGTTAATAACCGCAACACAGAGAAAACAAAACCGCATCGCAAAAATAAACGCCTAACCCCATCGCAAAAATAACCGCACCAAGCGGTTTTGAAAATGGATTAACCGCATTTGCGATTAGTAGTGAGATTTTGGTTAATAACCGCACCGAACCGCACCGCGTTATATATAGTGATATGCATTGTTAAATTGGATTTGTGCGATTTGTTTTGGGTGCGCGTGTGCTACAACTTACTTAGCCCGATAAGAGTCCTAAAGCATACATCTCTATTCTCCACAGCCCAAAAGAAATTGGCCAAACATCGATATTCTATATATATATATATATATATATATATATATATATATATATATATATATATATATATATATATATATATATATATATATATATATATATATATATATATATATATATATATATATGGTTAGATTCAATAGATAACCATAATTAATCAAGTAATTAATATTTTTATCAATTTTTATAACTTATATTTTATCATAAAAAAAACAAACTAAAAATACTGAAATTCATAATATTTTATCATTTTTCCAATGATATCAAATTTGATAATTTTTTTTATCAAATTCACAATGTGAATCTTTGAAATTTCACAAAATGAATCTAAATTCACACGGTGAGTCCGAAAATATATATCTAACATTCACAATGTTAAGTTATAAATTTAGATATTTTTAGTTTTTTTTTTTTCGATAAAGAATAAGCTCTAGAACTTGAAAAAAATTGGTTCGTTGGAGAACCAATAATTATAGTTCTCTATTGAGCTTTTATATATATATATGTGTGTGTGTGTGTGTGTATTTAACAAATTAACTAGTACTTTGTAAATTATAATTTTATATATATAGACATGTTCGTCAAACTAGCTCGAAGCTTTTAAAAGTATGAAATTACATAAAAACTAAAATTTAAACTTTTCCAAAAACTACTACATATATATATATATATATATATATATATATATATATATATATATATATATATATATATATATATATATATATATATATATATATATATATATATCAGTTCCAGTTTTTTTCAAAGCTAAAAGTTAAATTATTTTGATGTCAAACGCATTCATAATCTTTAAAATTGTACCTATTTTTAGTATATATATACACTTTCACATTGTGATAATTTCCGTTTCTACTCATAAGTTGGATGATTAACTTCATCACCCCAGGCTTTTTCTTATTTTTATCCAATTCCATTACACCTAAGGCCAAAGTTTCCACTATCTTGTATAATAATTTTCTGTATTTATTTGTTCATTCTATTCCATCATAATATACTTGTTGCAATACATATTAATTCAAACATTATATTTATTAGATAGTATAATTTAAATCAAATACAATAATTAAATAATACAAAACTAAAGACAAAATAAAAAGGCTGGACACCACTAAGAACAAGGTGGTAAGCATCGAGGAAGCAATGAAATGTTGCAAGAAAACACATTGATTCAACATCACTTGGCATATTTACAGGAATGGTATCTTCCTTAAAAGAACAAATGATATCTCAAACACTTCATCCCTACCAATAGATTTTCAAATCTGATTCCATTATGGTGTAAACAAATTTATCTTTTTCACATATTTCAATTAATTATGTCATGTTATTTTCAATTATGTCTTAAAAAAATTTGTAATCAAATTATGCTTCTTTTTCTAC